ATAGTTTCTCTATTATCTACTGTTGCCCTCCCTGCTAATATATGGCAAAAAAAAAAAAAAAAGAAAAAGAAAAAGAAAAAGAAAAGAAAAACACCTCTTGATTGAGACATACACTAAAAATATTAGGGTCTCAGCAAAAAAATTGTCAGTTCATAAAACATTTATTTAACAACTGGAAGTTTAATAACTGTGATGTGACCCCTCAGATATCATTTATTTAAAGACCTACATTTTTTAATCTTTATTATTCTGACATATACAAACACTCTAAAGAAAATACTGAATCACAACTATACACGTATACCTTACAAAATATAGGAATTCTGGCTGGCAGGTGGTGTGATGGTTAAGGGACTGGATTCTTACATGGCTGACCACAGTTTGAATCCCAGACCTTGGTGGCTTGCTTTCTCACTTTCACTCTCACTCTCTCTCAATCTCATCAAATTAAAATTAATTAATTAATTGTTTTAAAAATACATAAGGTTCCTTTTCTTCTCAATATTCTAGCATACACTTTATTTTACTTTATTTTATTTTTTGTCCAGAAGGTATGTGCATTCACCAGAGAGAAATAGAGAAAGAGGGAAAGAAAGAGAACGCTCTTCATAGGATTTACACCAAAATCCTTTCTCCATTTTTTCTCTCCTTTCAAGATTTTGAACATGCACTGATGTGCCTGGCATGCTTTTCAAGCCACCAGGTTTGACACTTAAACTATGCAGTTGTCCATGTAGGGTCCACCTTCTCCAACAACCAGGCTATAAGCTGGCCTTTAGCCTACACTTTTACCTAAAATTTTCTTGTCATTTTATTACTAAAAACTATAACAGAAGATTGCATTATTGTATAAAATTTGTGTCTACATCTTGCTAACACTGACCAAAATGTGTATTTTATTAAAGCTCCAAGGTAAATGCATTCATATTTTTATATTCATCCATAATATCTTATCAGTTTCCCTTTATATTTATTTATTTATTAAAATTTATGTCTTAAATTTTTTTCATAATAATGTCATACTGCCAAAGAAACATAAGGGAAAATATGATCCAAACTATGGTATATGAATAAATCTCATTTAAATGTAAACTTATTATTTTACTTGAATCTAAAAATTAAAGTTTGTGCATGTATGCACACACACACACACACACACACACACACACACACGGGTATTTTTAAAACCTCATGAGAGGGGTCAACAGGTGGCATGGTGGTTAGAGCCCTGGCCAACCACAGTTTGAGTCCTGGACCTGGAGGCTTGCATTTTCACATTCCCTCTATCTCTCTCTCACCCTCTTTCTCTCTCTGGTTAAATAAGAAAGTAATAATAGTAAATAAAATTAAATAAATACTTTTTTAAAAACTTCATGGTAAAATGAAAATAAAATATGAGATTATTTTAAAGGAAAAACATATTTTAAATCAATGCATAGTTTTTTCATAATATACATTTTCCATAAACTTTTTGAAGCCTCTTTATATACACAGATATATGCATATACATACACACAGAGACATGTATGGACAAAGAGGATAAACTGTCATTGCACTGTTACTTTAATAATCACCATGATTAAAAATATATAATCTTTGAACATGAGTGTACATGTAGATGGGTATATAATAATGTGTATGCTTGCTTTTCTTTAAATAAGCATAATTGAATATGGTTTTGAACAAATTTATCATTATTTTATAAAATTGTGATGTTCCCATGTACATATATAGATTTGGAGATATTGAAATGTCTTTACTCTAGGAAGAACCTTATTATCCAAGAGATTTAAAAAAGCAATGCATTCTGTGGACAAACTGCTCAAATTATAGAAATTATAAAGCAAAATTAAATGGTGGTTCAATCTCAACAAGAATAAAGACTTTTAAAATGTCATTCTCATCTCTTACTAATACACCTACAATAATGTGTTTTAAATAATATTCAAATAATACCTTCAGTGTTCAAACATTTTCTGTATTCATTGTAGCTTGAGTACTTTCCAAATTTCATTAAATATTCTTTTAAATACATTTTTTGTTGTTTTTGTTTTAATTTTTGCTGTAGGGCATGTGCCTTTGCCAGAGAGACAGCCAGAGAGAGAAAGAGAGAGAGAGGGAAAATGAGAACTCATCACCTCCCAGTGTGGGGTGGGGATGTCCACACTGCAATTCCTTCTCCTCTATCTCTTCTCTTGGGATTTTGGGCATGCATGTACATTTGCCCAATGTATCTATCAAGCCACTGGATGCCAGACATGAACTACACAGTCGGCCATGTGGAATCCAGCCACCTTAATCACCATACAACCATCTGGCAGCTGAAATACTATTTCTTTAAAGAATAATATCTTACTTTTGGAAGTTCTCAAATTAGATATGCTTCTTAACCCTTATGTTCAAGTAAAACATCTACTTGCAAGCAATTGCAGTGAAATCACAGGTAATGCCACCTCAAACAGATAAGGACTTGTTAAATATGGTTGTATCTTCAATAGTGTTGTGTATCCTCAGAGATATAGATTCCTTAGGCCTTTGTCATGTGGTCAACACAGCAGGATTTCACTAGTAATTTCTTCTATCCATATTGTCATGGATTTGTTACTGAATTACCAATGCGATATAAGCATTCTGATAATTTTATAGAATAGACAAATCTATGAAAGACATATGGAAATGCTTCACACCAAATCAAGCTATCCCAAGGGAATCACTTTTGGCAGCTTAGTGGGTACATATGTTCAAATGTTACAAACAAGATGTATAACTGTTCATGAGAACTGACATTACTTAAATAAATATAGCCTGCTGCACATCAATAAACTTTCCTATTAGCTCATAAGGTGCTTGAAGTATACACACTTTCATCAATAACACATAATTATTTTCTTTAAATACACCCTGGCTAAAATGTAGGTAGAGTCTTGTGTCTTTCTTTCTTCACTCAAAACTGGATGATAGATATGCTCTAATATCATAAGTATTTATGATACTACTTAATTTATTTATTAGGTCATCAGAAAAGTCATGGCATATTTTTCTGGGTTTTTTAATGCAAAAATGTGTCATGACTTTACCGATGACCCAATAGCTAATTAGTTTTGGTATGGGGTGTATATGCTTGCCAGAGAGAAAGAGAAAGTGAGAAACATCCTCCATGAGGATCTCCATGCTACAGACCCCTCTCCTTTATTTTCTTCTTGGGATTTTGGGCATGTGCTCAATGTGTTTTTTAAGCCATCAGGTCAGATACTCAGGTGGCCATATGGGATCCAGCCACCTTAACCACCATGCCATGGCTGGCGCAGTACTTTCTTTTTTTACCTCTCATAAAATTCCTTTGTTGATGAT